TTCTGTTGCAAAACTTGGAGGTACTTTAAGGTGAAGTATGTGGAAATGAGTTACTCCCTAGGGCACTGTGTATGTGTATATGTGTGTGTGTGTGTGTGTGTGTATATGCGTGCATGCACGCGTGCCTGTGCCTGAGTGTGTACTCACACCCTGCCCCGAGGGCCTGCACGCAACTTCTCTGAACCTGAATACTGAATTGCTTGCTGTGTGCTGCCCTGCCTCTGTTCAGTCACACACAGAAACGCACTTCTGCTTTAGCCGTCCAGTAGGGGGCGCCGCATAGGTGGCGTGGCACACTGCTGAGGCCGCAGGGGCTGCCTAGAGGCTGTGAAGTGGCTTCCTGGGCATACTGGGGCACAGTCCCTTATCGGGTTTACCCTGTAATCCCCCCCCCCCCCAAAAGCTGTCCTCAGCAAGACTCACCTGCCGCTTCCTGACTGAGAGTTTAACCTACCTGGGTGCCTCCCCCACTTCACGACAGCAGAGCCCCAAGCACACACCATGCGTGCGTTAGATGGGGCGGGCTGCCTGCACTCCTCCATGCCGTAATTTCAGGGTGGGAAGCTGGAATCCTGCAAACAGACACAAGGCTGCTCCTTCACAAAGCTGGGAGTAGCTTTCGGATTTTCCCTCGGAAACAATTTCAGAGTGAAGTGAGATGTTAATGAGATGCTTGTTTTTCCTGTGAACCCGCACCTTCACGCCCAGCTGGTAGAGGGACCCCTGCCCTTTCATCTGGTTTACAAGGATTTCTGTCTCCGCCAATGCCAGGTTTACAAAGCAACAAAGAGGACAACCACAAAAATGATGATTCTGAAACCTACAACTCTAGCATGTCCCAGAACATCTAGCATAGGATATTATACATACATAATTGTATTCTGCAGTTCTGCATCTTTTGTTGCCTAGTCAATGATAGGAATGCTATGGACAGCATTGTAATTTATCTTCATGGCCTGTGAATGCTGCAGCTACGCTGCGAAGCAGGAAGGCTAGGATTTCACAGACTGGAGAATAGCCAGGATCCCATCCTTTTAACCAGATGCATGGTGTCCCTTTAAATAACCCGACGTCATCCATTTGGACTCCTGGTGTGTGTGTGCATGTGTTTGTGAGCGTGTGAGGAATGTGATACACGAGTGTGATATGCATACTCATGTACTGCACTGTGAAGGCACTTTTCTTGTGTGGGTCTTATGTGTGTGTTGAGGGATGCGTGCATTTAGGTGGGAGTCTGTGATATCTGTCCCTATGTAATGTGTGTGTGTGTGTGTGTGTGTGTGTTGAGGGATGCGTGCATTTAGGTGGGAGTCTGTGATATCTGTCCCTATGTAATGTGTGTGTGTGTGTGTGTGTGTGTGTGTTGTGCAGGCAGTGGGAGACACCCATGTGGGGACCACATGTAAGAAAGGAGAAGAAATGCTTCTTTGTGTTGCTGTGTTTTAGTGTGAACAGATGCTAGATCCCAGGTCTCCCACAGTGCACTTCTTTCAGCCACAGCAGCCCTGGTCTCCCACAATGCTGTTCTCTTAGCTAGAGCTGTCCAATTCTGCCACATTTCAGCCATTCCAGCTACAGCAGCTCATATCTTGCATAATGCAATTATGTCAGCCAGAAGCACCGCTGTGGCTATAGCTTTAAGAGGATTGCATTGTGGGAATAGTAGTCCATAATCAGGAGAGGTATAATGGCACAGCAATACAGTTTGGTCAGTGTCACACACAGTGTCTGTGTCTGTATTTGTACTTGCAGTAGCTGTGTGTGTATCCATGTGTAGCTGTCTCCATTTGTGTCTCTTCTCACTGTCATGACCTGGCCTGTGTGACCCTCAAAAACAAATGAGTGACAGATGATTAGAGCTTTATTCATAATACAAAATACTTCTCACAAAGGGAGAATTTACCACTAGATTCGGAATGTGCTTTTATTAGCCTCAGTCTAAATGTGATGTATGTGTTTATGTGCTGTTTGCCTGATCTCATTCTGTATACAGTCTATATATTTAAATATGTATTCAAATAGCTATAGCAAAGAATGTGCATCAACGTGTATGTATGAGCAGTGTGGTCACCATGTGTGAATTTCTGTAGTTTTCTTACTTTGAGGGTGAATGTTATTGTGTGTGTCTGTGCTGTGCTGTGTTTGTATTACAGTTGTTTGTGTACATGTATTTTGGTTAAGTCTGCATGAAGAATGTGTATGTCTCTGTTTGTGTAACGTGTGTCTTTAGGTAAATGTCTGTTTATATCTGTGTCTGGGTGGTGGCTGCATGTGTGTCTGTCTGTGTCTGTGTGTGTGGGTGCATTTGAGTATGTGTATATGGGAAAGAGAGAGAGAGAACTCAAGCATAAAACCCAGCACCCCCCTCCCCACACACACACACACACACACACATGTGCAGTGAGAAGAGAGCACTCTGCCGTAGACTTGCTGAGCTGATCTTTCTTTCTTTTTTTCCTGAACCAGGGACTTTTGTGATGTTCACACTGCAGGAGCTCGTCCCAATTATAGTTCCTTGGCAGCAGTTCCAGAACCCTTTTTTAGTACTTACTGCAGACTAGGTACTTTTCTTTCGAACACAAACTACTGAGGAGGTGCTTACAGGGATAAACTTGATGATTGGTTGATCAAATGCACTGGGGCTAAAATGGAAGTGTGAAGTTATCTGTGAAGTTAAACCTACAAACTTTTGTGTCTCCCATGCTTATTCAGCGTAAAGGTCCCAGTTCCTATTGTGTGGTGTGAAAATGAGACATGAAAGTGGCCAGGAGCTACAAAAGTTCCAGGTCAAGACAACCCAGTTACTTATCAATTGAGAGCGGTTCTGGAACTTCGGCGTGAAAGTGCCTGTTGTCCTTTTGATTTACTCATCATTGAGTCAGGTCTGACCACATCATACCTCCATACCCACCTCCCCCCCACTTCACACACCTCCATGTATGCCTGCCTGTTCTCCTGCGACAGGCACACGCCACACACACACTGCTCACACCCATTGATGCCTTTCTCTCTTCCATATAAACACACACTAAGAAGGGACATTGTTATCATGCTCATCGCAACCATCTCCTGCGGGCTGGGGGACGCCTGAGCAGCGCAGAAGCAAGCAGCCGGTGGTAACTGCAGTTGCACCTCTAGGTAGTTCTTAAGTTGGGCAGATTGGATGAAACATTTAGTGGTTATCCATAGGCAATTTGAGGTGAAAGTATTGACCAAGTGAGTACACATGTGAGCACTCTTGTGAAAGGTGGGGTGACATGATGGATAGTCTCATTAGTGCTCCTGTGAAAGTCAGGGTGTGATGTAGGATACTCTTATGAGTAGGTGGGGTGAGATGTAGGATACTCTTATGAGTGCTCCTGTGAAAGGCAGGGTGAGATGTAGATACTCTTATGAGTGCTCCTGTGAAAGGCAGGGTGAGATGTAGATACTCTTATGAGTGCTCCTGTGAAAGGCAGGGTGAGATGTAGATACTCTTATGAGTGCTCCTGTGAAAGGCAGGGTGAGATGTAGGATACTCTTTTGAGTGCTCCTGTGAAAGGCAGGGTGAGATGTAGGATACTCTTTTGAGTGCTCCTGTGAAAGGCAGGGTGAGATGGAAGGGCAGGTTGCCTTTTTGATTCCCTTCCGCCCACCAGTTAACCTTTAGATCTGGGAGGTGAAAGATGATCCAGGTCACGCTGTCTGATCCAGAGATCAGCCTTTGCTGTATCACACTGAAAGCGGTGTTGGTGTGTCAGGAGCCGCCGTGCGGTCTGCCGCTCGAGGTGGCAGCCAGAGGGCCTGGCTTACTTTCAGCATAAATGTCAAGTGCCTCAGCATTACTGTATCACTGCACGCAAATGTCCCTCTGACTTTGAATGTTTCTCTTGAGAACTCGCACACAGTCACAATTTTTATGCACGACCTGTCTGTGTTCTACAGTCATTTCTGATTCTGTGAAAATGAAAGAGTTTTGCAGAAAAATGTGTGTGGTTGTATCTGTGTGTGTGTGTGTGACATTAGGTTTATATTACATTATAGGGACCAAATTTACCCCACAGTGTGATAAAAAAAACTATTTCTTTGACGTTGTGGGACCAATTTTCAGGTCCCCACAAAGATCTGTGAATACAATCAAAAAAGTAAAAATGCTAAAACCCTGTATTTTGTTTGGTTACTTATGGTTAAAGTTAGGGCTGGGTAGGGGTTAAGGTCGTTATGTTGGGATTAAAGTTTTCCCTATAGCAGTGAATGGAGAGTCCCCACAAAGGTATATTTACAAACCTGTATGGTTGTGTGTGTGTGTGTGTGTGTGTGTGTGTGTGTGTGTGTGTGTGTGTGTGTGTGGATTATGTTATATTACATTGTAGGGACCAAATGTTCCACGCCCACACGCTCACTGATCAATAATGTGAAGGAGCACACAGCCAAGGCCTCCTTTAGGGTGAGAAGAGGAAGAGGAGGAGGAAGAGGTGGAACGCCAGAGGGCAGGGTGAGGGTGGGAGGGTGACATTTGACTCTGCAGAGTCACCCTGACTCAGCCACTACCCACACAACCTCCCAATCAGCATATCAGCTTTGAGCACGCTCAGCAGCACATGGAGTGACTTGGGGCTTATAATAATAGTAATAATAATAATAATAATAATAATAATAATAATTAGTAGTAGTAGTATTGTTTGTGATCCTTGTGGTCATGATAGTGTTATTATTGTTGTTATTTTTAGTTGTAGTAGTAGAAGTATATTATATGTGTTTCATTATATTTTTTGAATAAGTAATGTGCAGTAGCCACTTGTTCTTTGTAATAAACTGACCTGGATAATGAGTTTCAGGACAGCTAGTGTGTGTGATGCATGTGAATGTTTATATGACATGAGAATGAGTTGTGTGTGTGTGTGTGTGTGTGTGTGTGTGTTGACAAGCCAGTCCTGCGTGCTGCTGTCACGCACCCGCCTCGCCTGTACCAGGATGTGACGAGCGTGTGCCACTGAGACTCTCCTGTGCATCTCTTTCAGTGTGTCCTGAAACTGAGGTCATTATGCTGAGCGGCTGAGGGGGAATCGGCTTGGATCACTGGCCGTGTTTCTGTTAGCCAACCGTGACACATCAGAGCAGGTGAGTAGCTAAACCTCAGCATTCTCCACAGTGGCGCACACACAGTCTCTGACTGTCTGTACTGGGACTTTCCCACTGACTGATATTTTAATATCATTAATGATTCATAAGCCAGATGAAACCGATGAAATCTGAAAGTTCTTGCACTTCGTTTTTAAAAGTTCAGTAGTACATTTTTTTTTTTCTTTCAAAAACATCAGGACATGCTACTTCGGAATGGGGTTACGGGTTGGTGTTGGCACTGGGAGTATGCGAGGAGAAACAGGAGGAGGAGGTAGATGGATGGTGTGGAGGAGATGGGAAAGTGTGAAGACAAGGCTAGAGGGAGGAGACACCCAGGGGACAGGACAGTGAGTAAGAGGAGTGGGTCTTTGTCAGGCCGCTGAAAGGGGCTTATGTAATAATGTGTGAGTAGACTGGGCCAGTATACCTCCCCCCTGAACAAGCCCCCCCCCCCCACCCAGGGTGTAAGTCAGCACCACGCCAACCAGATGCTGCCGGGAGGGGGGGGGGCATGGTGAGAGCCTTTGAGGTCCTGAGTCACAGGCAGACGCTGGCAGGGGATGGGGGCAGGTGTGCCCTGAGCTTATGTCAGGTGCCCAGGGTGTCTGCCGGGGGGGGGGGGCTTGGTTTGCCTGTTCCATTGATGCGGTCTTGTGATCACTCCCAACTACATACACATACATTAATGACAATAAGAATATTCTGGATATAAGAATATTCTTATAATAAACAAACTAGTTCGTAATTCAAAGTGTCCAGTGAAGATATTTTCCGTTTATTGTAATCATTCAGATTTTGTGTTGTGGTAGTTTTAACATCATTCAATTAGATAACAAATGCTAAGTAAATTCAGTTTTTATTAAAACTTTATATCTTGTACACCACATATTTTCAAGGTGCATTTAATCCCTACTTATTAAAGTGTATTCAGTAATAATGCTGTACTTAGTACCCACACACGGGAGAAGTACAGTCGATGTGCAGTGTTAATTAGAAGCATAATGGTTGCTAATTTGTAGTTAAGAAGCTAAATTTGATTTGTACCTAGTTGCACACACTTACATTCATATTTAAAGATACACACCGATGCAAGCTTTTTAAAAAAAAATTTGCGGTTGATGAGCCAAAGACTACCACCCCCCCCCCACCCCCCCACCCACCAATTAAAAGGAAAAAACATAATCACTTTATATTATGTTTTTTAACAGCGTCTCTGATATATGATACATTAGCTCCTTATATTCAAAGTGCCATTTATCGGCATTAATGTGGCTGTCACTGACCCATACGGGTGGTCACTGTTTCTGTGACTGCGTAAAGGTGTCTGTCTCAACACCCTCCCCACCCCCATTAATTTAAATAAATTCATTTTCATTAGCTTTCCTTTTTTTGCTGTCTTCCCCCAGTTCCCCAGAGACATTGTAAGGCACAGATGGAAACATTCTTATACACACCAAATTTCCCCCACTATTGAAACTGCTTTCTTAACCTGTACCGGTAAAAGGGGGTCGTTAGTTCGAGCCCAGCCTCGGCACACCTGTGGGTCCTTCAGCAAGACCCTAAACCCCCAGCTCCCTGGGTGCTTCTCTGGGCTGCTGCCCTTCGTGGCCAGCTTGCCCTCACCTACAGAGAGCAAGTTGGGGGAGGCGTAAAGAGAATTTCCCCACGGGGATCAATAAAAAGTATCTAAAAAAATCATTATGTGCTTGGTGATTACTTAATCCTCTCTGTTGATGTTTTGGTCCCGGTTGATGAGTAAGTAGTGCTTAGTGTTCCTCAGTATATTTTCTAGGTCAAACGCACGGCTTTGAAAACTAGACTATCCATTACGTGTACCGGGGTAGGCAGACCCGAATGTGGGAAACGACAGAGCGGGGGGGGTCAGAAAGAGTCAGAGTGTGACTGACTGAGAGGGAGGTGGCCGGAAGGGAGAACTGAAGAGTTATACACGTGGGTCGCTCATCGCGCCAGTAGGAACAGTCCGATGTCACAGTTACATTTACTATCTCGGGTAGATCAAGAACAGACGTTCTCTGCCAAATGATCTTTTTTTTCTCAACGATAGTCGCACATTCCCATGACATAACTTAGTTTACCTTCTAGATTATGGACATGCGTGTGTCTGCGGGAAATTTGTTAAAATGCGAAGGCGAGGTTCTGTCGGAAGGTCGAGTGCGCTGCTCGTCAATGCGAAGCTCGGGAAACCGCCAGAAAAGGGTCAGTGTGTCATCGCTCAGAGCGATCGCAAAACATCTTTTTATAGTGGAACCGATGTACAGAAAGCTACCCTGGAATATTGGTCAGAAAGAATAAGATCGTTCTCTCTTTACTACACTTTTGCGTGACTCGCCTCGTTTCCCTTAATAAATGACATCCCATAGACTCACTAGATATGTGAGACCGCAGTGAAACGGCTACACTGTTAAATATCCAGTTGCACACCGTGATTAAGTGAACAACGAATGTGTACAAATAAAATATAAGTCAGACGATTACGGGTTGCGGTTATATATAGGTATCGTGTTGTTGGCTGCCGGCAAGATAAACGTACGGCGTGTTTCTAATTTCACCGTGTGAAGTACAGATCTTTCTACGCATCGTTTGGCAGAAAGAAGCTGGCTCGTTGTTGTGAAGGGCAGATCGGTCACGAGTGCGCCTTGAAATGGTCTAAAGAGCCGGACTTGGCTTTGGTGCCAGTTTGCGCTGTCAGGGAATTCCGTCCGCGCAAGGAGCTGGACGTCGACGTCACGGTGGGCGGAGCAGGGCTGTTTTGCGGTGACGTCAACTTGCGAACAGCGTGTCCCTTTAAAACACACACGGCACGACTCGGCTCGGCGCAACTAGATCCAGCTCCGAGAGCGAGAGGCTATAAAGAAAGAAAAAGAAAATTAAAATCGAGGCAGCAGACGTTTAGTCACTCTCCGTGCTTCAAGCCATTTGAATTCCGAGCGATCCGAAGGAAGAGGAATTTATTTTGGTGTCGGATTAGCGACGGCATTCCCGGTCCACCAGCGCCTCGGAGCCGCAGCACAGAGCGACAGCCAACAGGCGCTTTATCACTGATCGGATACGGTACAAGCGAATACCCTGAAACCTCTATATTATTGTCTTTTTTTATCGGACAAGAATCCTCGACAATTGCGATCGCGTGTTTTCTGCGCTTCAGTTTTGGTGTCTGAGAAATGGCGAGGCAGTTGATTCATTGGGAGAGGAGCGCAGACTTGTTTAAACAGTATTGCTGCCATTATTTTTCGCCGTCGCCTTTAAATGTTAAAATAAAAATAACTCTGCCGAACTCGAATGTGAGAGTCTGGAGTAGTTTTTAATATTTTCATAATTCGATTAAGAATGGTTAAGAGAATTATTTTGTTCTAGTTTAAGTCACATTTTTTATATCTAGCAACTAATTTAGAATTATAATTTAGTGTCTGTTATTCAACAGACAGTTGCCTTTGACGGAACTTCGCCGACTAGGAATAGCGACGTGGGACAGTTGTAGGACGAGTTCACATTTTCGACGAAGGTAAGTCGGTTTTCTTCATTATAAGGAATATAATCTGCCTCAGGGTGTGTGTGTCCCTGTAGCGATAACAGAAATGCTATGAATGTCCGGGAGATTTTGCGAATGCATGAGCCGTAGTAGCCGACGCTGAGTCCCTTTAACAGTTAATAGTTGTCTGTGTGTGAAACCGGAAGAAAGACTTGCTCGTATTAACCCCTGAGTGACCGATTCTTATTAATTCATGAGGAAAATCGGCGAAATTGGCGAAATCCATTTGGCTTATGTTGTAGCACAATCGTGGATTAAATGAATGCCGTAGTGCGACGTGCTATTGATGTGCCGTCTCTTACCCGTGGTGGGTATCTGTGCGCGCCCTGAAGTCCTCCTTCAGTCAGACAGCGTAACTCGGCACTTCAAAGCAACCCACGTGTGTCCGTGGGAGGGGGGAGGGCGGGGTGTGAGTGAAGGAGCTGTAATACGATCTCGTGCCTTTGTCTGCGAGGGGGGGGCGGGACGGGGGAGGGGCGCCGGCCACGCCGTCGTTTCAGCTGAATGAACCACGCCACAATGAGAAATCGAAAGCTGTCCATTTTTATCTTTCTGCCTCGTCGGGGGGGGGGGGTGTTTTTATGTGTAAAGGCTTTCTGAGAATACGCCGTTTACTAGTTACTGAGGGGAAGTGACTTATCATAAGACGTGTTTTTTTTCCTTCGTGTCTTACACAGACTTTTCATACCTTGCTCTTTGAGGTTTTATAGGAATTTGAGACGAAATAACCATGTTCCCGACAGCAACGTGCATAAGGCGCTGTCGTGCCGTCTTCCTCGGCACTTCAGTTTATATGAGGTCATAAACCCCGTGTTGTTCTGGCGGGGAGGTTTTAAAAGTTGGGGGTGAGGGGTGGGAGATAGGAAAATCCCTTTCAGGTTCGACTTCCGATGGCTTAATTTATAGACTGATTGACATGGAAACGAGTTGCGTGTTTGTTTTTCTTTGAAGCCATCGGGGAATTTAGGGCTGTGAATTTACGGAGGGGTGACGGGAATCTGCCTTTTTCAGACCCCGTTCGGCTGGCTGCACTTGTTTTGAAATACCCGCGGGCCCCTCCCGTTAGCGGCGTTTGCCTGTTAAAGGGATATGCTCTGAAATACACAGCGGGTACCCAACCAACTGTCATACATTGGCTCTATGATGTAGTGCAAGAAGTCTCACAATTAACTGATGCGGGGTGTGCGTTCCTTGGAAATAACATCACTTTTTGTGTGTCTGTCCGTCCTTCTAGTATATCTGTGGGGGTAGGGAGTTGAATTGTCTTTTATTGCTGTGTGAATTGGTGACTGGAGGGGTTGGCTGACAAAGACGAGGAAAATAAGTTAGCCGTTAGTGGCTGACTAAGCAGTTCATGTTCTCAGCCCATTGGGCAAAGTGACAAGTGAGATTGTGTTTTACAAGGCAGGTGCCACTCTTACAATTGGGTCATGATCAGCTTTGTCCATTTTGAAATGGATGTGTGATAGGTTCATTCATAACAAGAAATGGAACTGAAAAGGCCAGTCTATGCTGACTACTCACTTTCATTGTCATTAATTTTTGAGCCTACACCTTAAAATTTGTGGCAACAGGGCAATCTTACAATAAATGGAGGGTGTGAGTGTCCGTGTTTACTAGCATTCCCGCCCCCATGCTCTATCACCCAATCAGAAACCCCACAAGTGTGACATTTCAGTTCTCTTTGGATGTTTAAAGTGTGTGTGTGTGTGTGTGTGTGTGTGTGCATGTTAGCTGAGGTTGTGTATGTCTCTGTGTGTGAGATGCAAGCAAACCATTTCCTCATTTGGTCTTGGTGTGTTAAGTTCCCTACGTTTTGCAAGGGGACGGGAAGCAGGCGGATGGTGAAACGGCTGTTTCAGCAGGGCCAAAATGATGGGGCACAGTGTTATCCTTCTGCATATGCACCCCTGGAGTGTCCAGAAGCAGCCTGGCCCTGTCTCTCCCCACTTGCCAGGATCAGTGTGGCCCCTCCACCTCCATGCTGAACCGAGCTGAATGGGAAGGACCAGGATACAGGGTCCAGAGACTGTGGCTGTTTTGTGTCCCACGCCGGTCCCCTAAATTGGATTCCTGTGTACGAGTCCACGCTCTCTGCAGCGTAAGCCTTACGTAATGCACGGTACCACCAGCAAAGCTGAACATCATGTTCATTTTTGTGGAGTCGGTGGTGAACTATGCATCCCAGAGTCAGTGTGCCGGCGGGGGTGACCTTTGCAATCTCCATGGTGACGGTAGTGCAGAAACAGTGATGTGGCACACTGGGGTTGTGCAAGCCACGTTGAAAGTGCGCTGTGCTTGTTTTTATTTTTATTTTAGTCACTCCTGCCTACAATGATTTGCCTGTGTTAGTTAAAGAGAGAGAGAGAGAGAGTATGAATTGTTTTGAACTGACCATGGGGTGAGTTCATCTTCACAGCTGTTAAGTGAACTAGGTTTTGATTCAGTGCTGCCTCTTAAGTTTGAATATAACCATAAAAGAGCAACATTTCAGAACACAGATGAATTTTTCTATTAGTATTAAAATGCACAGTGTTTACAAAGGAGGTATCCCTGGAATGCGTTTTCGGAGCTCTGCCGTGTCCTCCTTCAGACCTGCTGGGATGTCAGAGTGGCCTTTTCCAAGAAGATGAGGGACCTGGAAATATCGACCAATTATAACTCCCCTTCTGTCCCCTATTCTTTGACAAAGCATAAGTGATGCTCTGATTCATATCTCGGCAACTGTTGCCAAGGGAACGGGCAGACTGATACATTATTTTTTCTGTTTTCTTTATATTCTTTTTTGGTGAAACACACTATCCAAGTCTGAGTGCACACAAGGCCATGTGGGGACGCAGCAAAAGGCAAATGACTGGTTATTGGAACCAATCTGGAAGGGATAACAAGAACTTCCAGAAAACCTTCTGTTTTGTGTTGTATTTTTTTTTTTCAGATGTTGATTTCCTGATGCATGCTGAGAAACACGTCTTGTGATTTCAGAACAATCGATCCAAACGGTATTTGTGCTTTTACTGGCCCGAACATTGTGTGCAGTAAGCCGGTCAGGAGGCCGCACAGATAACACGGCTGTTCATGCCCGTCCCTAGCAGCTATCCGCATGCGAGGGCAAGCTTGCACCGGCTCCCATCCAGTGTGTGTGCCTGGCACACAGAGCGACCTCACTGTCCCCCGCCGGGTCGCGGGATGATGCGTGACACACATGTGAGAGCACACCGAGGCAGCCACCTGCTTCCTCTGAACGTGACATGCACACACGCTCTCAGACTCTCAGAAAGTGCGTCATTCCTGTCCTTGGAAGCCGTGTCAGTGGGGGCTGGCTCCATAGCCATATGACATTTCCCTCTGTCCAGGTTCACTAACCGTTTCCAGAAAAAAAACAGATTGTCGTTCTCCACCCGCCGAGCACCGGCTGGGAAGCAGGCCTCGCTTCTAACAGGCCCGGCGTGGTCTCACAGAGACGGCAGGCCTTGTGGGGAGGGGAGCCAATGGCAGCCGGTTTGGTGGAGCTTCTCTGCTCTTCGGCGCACACGCCGCCATTGTTCCACAGGAAACCGCATGTTCAATACCCCCCCCCCCCCCCCCCCCGACCCAGCTTGGGAGGCCCACTTCCGGAGCCTCACTGACAGCCGCTTCCTGTCTGATCGCTGCTCCTCTCCACTGTTCTTCTTTTCTACATGTCAGTCATGTATGCCCATGCCCATGCCTGGGAGCCGGTCCGACCCAGAGCTTGGGGCAAGGAAGGGCTTTCTTTAGCTTCGGCAGCCCAGTGAAGACTGGTCCGGCGACCGTGTCGAGCATCAGTCAAGCCTGAGCCATGCTGCCCGGATGCAAGTTGGCATTTCAGCCGAGCACTCGATCTTCCTGGAAGAGCGAAACTCCCAGACAGGGGTTTAATCAGCAGATCACAAACGAGCTGCGTGACTTCAGTGGAATTTATTTATCGCGGTTGCCATGGAAAAAGCGTGTCGTCTTTATTAGTTCAGGATATTCTTCATAAATGTCTAGCTCAGATGGCTGCAAGTGTCAGCAGAACATCAGAGAAAGGGTGAATTTTTAAAAATATCAATGGTACTCAAAATTTACACTGATTCGCTAGATTTTTTGGCTGGGCTCTGTCGTGTCGTTAACCACTCTGCCATCCATTCTTCACTGCCACTCTTTCATGCTGCCCTCCTCCAACATTGCCACACACCTGCTATGCATGCTTTCTGTTCTGCCAGTTCCTGTGGCCTACTTTTTTCAGCAGGAGGGTCTCGATTTCCCCATCTTTAGGTAGGAAGTGTCTCCAAGGAGCTCCTTAAGTGGCCCGGGGGGGGGTCATGGCTTCCTCCTGTATGGCCGTCTGACCGCCGTGTGAACATGCAGCATGTTCTGTCGCCCGGCTGCTTCAGGGGCTCTTGGCCTTTCTGTGGCACAGTGTTTCCCGGCCCGGTCCTCTGGGACACGCAGATGGTCCACGTTTTGCTCCCTCCCAGCATCCCTGCCAGGCAGTCCGAATTTTTGCAAGGAAGTTGGGAGTGAACCAAAACGTGGACCATCTGCAGGTCCCCGAAGACCGGGTTGGGAAACATCGCTGTAGCGTATCGATAAGCTTGCAGCCAGATGAACCAGGTTTTGGGGTGGTGGGGGGGGGGAGGCTATGTGTCGTGGTCAGTCCTCCCCCTTCAGATCAGGACGTACAGTGTGAAGGTCTTTCGCGTTCGCACCGACACAGAACACATGCACATACACGGCCTGCGGAGACACAGACGCAGGATTTGGCAGTTCCTGCTGATCCTCACCATCACGTTCCCTCCAGAACATGATCCTGATTTGGAACCGGTTGCATAATGCCTAAATGTGGAGCTCAGAATTTGTGTGTGTGCATGGGACGGGTGGGTGGGGGATGGGGGGGTGAGTGAGGCCTTTTCTGTTCTTTCCTTCTGCTCTCCCTCTGGGTTTGTCTATTTATAGCCCCGCAGCCCTGTGCTCCAAACTCTCCGCAGTCAGGGAAATGTGGCTGAATCTGCTCCGATCGCGGTCCTGCATCCATAGCGTTAAAGCTGCCGGCTTTTTATCCCCCCCCCGGTGAAGCCCATGATCTGTTTTGGCCAAATCTCCCAAAGTCTTTCCTTTCCTCCAAGTGAGGCTGCTGTCGGCTGCTTTGTCTGGGGACAGTCAGCATGGTCATCCCGCCCCAGGCCGCGGGAGCAGTGTGCTGCATCACGGCCTGACTGTCACCAGCTTTGCCGGTTGTGGTGGTCGGGGGAATTCTGGGCTACGGCCTGGTGAATTGTGGCAGCAGTTTCTGACTGGAAGTAGCGATGGCAAGGGGGAATTCAGTAACCCTGGCAGTGCAGGCAAGGAAACTTTTTTTTCTCTTTTTTTAATGAAATTTGGGTTTATTGACTGAAGTGTTGTTGGTCAGTGCTTTTGGTGTCAGACATGAAGTGTTTTGCCTGAAGTTAATAAGCTGTTGCAGTTCCCCTCAAGACACATGTGATGGCGCTGTTCTTGCTTAGTAGTGTTTTAAAGGGTTCAATTAGTTGCGTGAGATGCAACAACCACCAGCTATGGCACGGCCCTGCGCCTCCACCGCGAATATGCACACCTACTCTAGCACCTCGCCTGTGGTCATGGTTTGTTAGCTTGTTTGCTGATGTTCTGTTGCCTCAGTTTGGTGATTTTGGATTCCCCCATCACCAAAAACCCAGTTTGTTCATCAACTTCCTGGTTGCCACACCACGCTGCACCAAAACCCCATGGTGACACCACTGTGCCGAGGAAATTCCAGCTTGCGTCACGCCGCCAAAATGCCAGTCAGCCGCGCCAGAGGGGGTGTTCCCTCCAACCTTCCTACCTGGGAAGGGTTAAGATTCTGGGGCAAGCCCTCTCGCTGTGACTCAGCGGGGGTTCCCCAGACCTGCAGAGGAACCAGGTGGCGATTTGGCTGTTTACAGTGTTGCCTCAGTCCCCTGTCTCAGCCACATCACACCAGGACCTTGGATGCTGTTGGTTCACAGGCCGTGCCTGAGGCAGGGGGTCATCCTAAGCTGACCACTTGGTGTGGATCTGGGAACTCAGGGAGCACATAGACAGCTGCAGTGTTACTTTGGGTCATAGTCATTCCTAACATCATCTGAGCTGTCGCCGTATCATTTCCACCCCGTTGTCGTCGCGAGTGACATGGCCCTCTCGTTTCTCATGGGAGACGTCCCGGCGGCTTGTACTCATGCCCAATAGAGTTACGGTTCCATCAGTCTTGCCGGGTCACACTCATCGGTTTCATTTCTTCTCTGACTGGGGAAGTTTACAGCAGTGGGACTCTCACCATGAATGAGAACAGAGACTGCATCTGGTACGGTCTCTCCTTCAGAACTGCAGTCCCGCCTTTCCCCCTCCCGGGACTGGCCAGGCCCTCTCCCGCCGGACAGAGCGCCCACTGTTGGCCGTGAGGAGCCGGCACCATAATGCCAGTGAGCCGCAAGGGCTGCTGCTCGATGTCGGTCGGGGAGCTGAGGGAGATGCTGCGGTTTGGCTCTGGTGGTTTGTCGGCATGGCGACATGATGCTCGCATATCTCGGGACTTGTTGGATGACAGGCTGTTAGTATCTCTGGTTGGTTATGACTGGCAGCTTCTGGGAATAAGAGCCTCCCAGGTGAAACCCTCGAAGTTTGTCTAGTGGGAGGAGGTCCCTAAAAGATACCTGGCTGCTCCCTAGGTAGACCGTGGCTGCTCTCCTGGGTGGGGGTGGGGGAGGGGAGCAGATGGACCCGCACGTCAGCTTTGGCTTATATGACTGTCCACACGACTCCGCCTCCGCGCTGTGACAGACCGTCACCGTTCGCAGGGAACGTTTAGTACAGCGAGGCATAGTGAGTGGGCGGAGCGGCTTGAGCACGGCTAATTTGGGAGCTCCGTATGAGGCGGGTATCGGGAACAACGTGCAGCTTCTGGCAGCGTGTGTACGTGTGTGTCACCTCGCCTCCAAAGATAGCTCTCGGTTTTAACAATTCTCCTGGTTTCCCCTCAGAATCGTGCAGCAGACATGTCGTTAGACAGGCACGCGGCACCTATCCTGCTATTACGCATCCCGCACTCTGACATACACATCTCAGTACCTCTCTCACACTGCAGCCCTTCACATGACCCTGTTTTGCACTGCAGTCATGAGTGATGTCTTGCCAGTATCCGGCCGAGATTTTTTTCTCTATCCTTTTGTCAACATTTGGAGCGCCCTCTAGAGGTGGCTCTGTGTGATAACATATGTTAACATATCAGATGTTTCAAAAATGATGCTTGACCAGCGCAGCGGCATCTTCATAAAATCCCTCCCTCCTTTGTTCTAGACTTCCAGCCATTCTGTGTGTGAAGATGCTCTCTGTGCGTCCATCCCCCCCTCTGCTTTCCCGTCCTGGGTTACGATGCCCTGGCTGGCGGCCTGACATCTCATTCCCTTGCCCACTCCGTTAGGTCGGCCCTGAGAGAACTGCGGCAGATAGCGGACGGACGGACAGACGGACACTTCGCCCCTGTTTCCTGTGTGGCCCCCTCTGTGCTGCAGTGGAGGGCTTCACACACACAGCTAGTGTGGTGAGTCAGTCGAGCTATGGGACCTGCGTGTCTGAGCGTGTGCGGCTGCGTATCCGAGCCTGCGGTCCTCACCCCCCCCCACGCCTGCAGGCTGGATGCATCACACGGCGGAGCAGTTTGGTGGCCGTAGCTCACGGGACTCTTTCCCCCTGTCCGAGCTGAACCATGGATCATGGGCACCTGTGGCCGGCCGGCACTGGGGCCCTCCCCCCAGGTGAGCTACACGTTGAGGAGGTCCCCTGGCCCCCCTGGAGAGAAACCCCCATTTTCACTCGCCATGGCTGTCTGCCATAAGCACTGAGTTCACTGACTCTCTCTCTCTTTCTAGGGGTCTCCCCCCTGTCAGTCAGCCTCAGCTTCTTCACCTGCCGTCGGGTCACCTGACCGGGCCAAACCATCCCAGTAAATTCTTCAGCAGTGGGTGAGTCTGACCTGCATTCTCCCGTGTGCAGTTGTGTGGGGTATAACAGCTCTCGTACTTATAGTACATAATGTATTTGTGAGTGTGTATGTAGTCATACTGGCGTCATAGTGGGTGACATGCCGCACTGTCCCCCCCGCAGGCGTCCTGGGGACAAGCTGGAACCATCGCTCCGAGCTTCGTGGGAGTCCGCCGGGCTGATGGGTCCCGATGTTGGACGGGGCTACCAGAACCCCAGCCGGCCACACCACGAGTATGGCCTGGCGGGCCGCCACAGCGCCTTGCTGAGGGTGAGCCGAGGCGGGGGGCATACCGACATGGAGCAAAAGGTTCTTAGTGTGAACTTATCACACCAGATATACAGGTGCCTAAATTGTTTTCAGTACGAGTAAAATATAATAATTCATAAACCAAATTGTTTCCGTTTGTTCAGTTTGGTGGTCCTTACCAGCCACCGGCTTCCAGAAACCCTGCTCCCTTGGGCAGCATGTGGAGTCCACTAGCACAAGTGAGTATGGTGCCCTTTCATTCGCTGGGGCCCCCTGCCCCCCACCCCCCCCCCCCCTCCCCCTTCAGTGTCAGTCGCTCACTTTCATCGTCCCCTGGCCAGCAGTCCCGGCCGTTTCCAGGAAAGATTATAGGCGCCCAGCTGAAGCGGCCCGCACCCCCCCTCGTGGAGCACTCCATCATCCAGCATGCCCCGCCTCCACACCCACCCCCAAATGAAGAGTGCCCCAGTCCAAGCAAGAGGAAGAGGACTGGCAGCTCCGAGCAGGTCAGGGCACAGAGCAGACTCCTGTCTGGGGATGGGTACACAATCAAGGACCACTTTATTAGGCAAAGCTGCCCATTAATGCAGCAACATGTAGACGGTGTGTGCCTGACCGGTGTGTAGACGGCCTGTGAATGACTAGCGCAGGGGTCTCCAACTCCGGTCCTGGAGAGCTACTATCCAGTAAGTTTTCTGTCCCACTTGGCTTCTGATGAGCCACACCTGTTCCTGGTATTTACCTGAGAACAGGTGTGGCTCATCAGAAGCCGGGTAGGATAGATAACCTACTGGATAGTAGCCCTCCAGGACCGGAGTTGGAGACCCCTGGACTAGTGTATAGACAACGTGCATTTAGGCAGCATGTGAATACCCAGCATACAGGCACCGTACGGGCGTATAGGCGTCGTGTGCATGACTGGCGTATAGACACCATGTGGGTGTATAGACAGAGGTTTTTTTTTTTTTGTACTTTTTAGTTCCTCTCCTCCGTTGTCATCTGACTTTTTGTCATTTCTTTCTATCCTTTCTTACTTTCTTTTCCCTATTTTTGAATTAATCTGTATAAATGATGCAGTAATATATGACAACACACCCATGTAAAGCGCTTGGGGGTGACACTGTTGTAAAAGGCACTATTTAAAAATGATCGAGTTAATAATCGTGATGTAATAACGGCCGCATTGCCTCCCCAGGCGCCTCACCCAGGAGGGCAGCGCCTCCCCCTGCTGCCACTGTCACCTTCTCACTACCCCCCGCCCAAGCCAGCCTTCTGGAGCCCGTTGCATAAGGGCGGCGCCCCCTGGCCCGTGCTGGACCGGAAGAGCACCCCGGGGGACTTCCAGGTCAGCGCCCTCTTCCGCTCTGTGACAGTGACCCGCTTGACGTTTTATTGCTGGAAATGGTTCATGTTGTGTTTTTGTTTTGCTGTCTTTGGTGACAGGAAGTACCCAAACCACCGATTGGGGGCTTTTCTTACAAGTTCCCCCCCAACACCCCCTTGCCAGTCTCCCCGTCGCCTCTTAGCTCTCCAGCCTATAGCCAGGGCCATGGGGGCCCTCCTCCGCCGCTGGGGCACGGTGCCCACTTTCCCCCTCCCTTGCCCCTTCTCCCACTCGGCCGTGGCCTGCCCCACCCACGGGGCGCTGAAGGGGGCCAGCCACCCCAGGACAAAGAGAGGCTAGCACCGTCCCCAGCAAACTTTACCGGCGTGCCTTATAGCCACCGCCATCATCAGCCGTCTCCTGGCAGTGGCCTTTCAGAAACTCAGCGCTGCCCCCCAGAGGCCTGGAGGCCACATGGCCAGCAACCTCTCCATACTCAGGTGACAGAGCAGTTTAGGCATACAATTTACTGGTGTTACAATACCGTGGCAAACTAACCTGACCGTGTGTATTTTATGTTAATTTTAATTGGTCGCTTGTGGTTGGAATATAAGTTTTATATTTGGCTTTCTGCGTATTTCTCTCTACAGCAGTCAGGTCAGTACGGGACAGCGCCAGAATCTCAGGGTACCCAGCACCAGAATGGAGCCCAGGAAACCAGGGGGCCCCGGGCTGGCCAGCACGCTGCCCCCTCCCGCACCCCTGTTATCACCTCCAGCCCCTCCAGCCTGTCCGCTTACAAATCTCCATGCCGACCCAGCCTATACACAGGCAACATGTCTGCCGTTCCTTCTGTAACCACAGCGCCCCCTGCTGTCTCCACTGCACCAAGCACTCACACTAGCTGGAGTGGGAAGGCGCCCGTGGGGCTGGTCCGGCCTGAGCTGAAAGGAAGCCCCCTCGACAGTGGCAGTTCCAGGGCTTCCGGAGGCTCCCACCGGCCACAGCCACTCTCCCAGGGAGCTAGGTCTTACTTCAAGGAAGGGCCTGGCGTTGCTGTCTCTTCCTGCTCCTCTCCAGGCTCAAGGCTGGAGCTCCCAGGTGACAGGCTCTTAGGCAGAGTCTCCGACCCTATGACATCGGCCTCGGCTGCAGCCCCTGCCCTGTCTCGCCCCCCCCTCCTCAGAGCTGCCCCAGTGGCACCTCAGAGCATCGAGGAAGCCCTGGACAAGCTGGATGCTGAACTGCAAGGCGTGGAGAAACGGCAGGAATGGGAAGGGATGAAGAAGAAGAGGGATGAGGAAAAGGAGCAAAAGAAGGTGCAGGAGGGCCGGTGTGAGACGCGCCCCGGGAATTCGGAGAGCCTTGGCCAGCTCCTGTCCAGCAGTCCCTTGGGACCCCCCCAAGCTAGCAGCAAGACCCCCTCACCCCCTACCTCCCAGCCCTCAGCTCCGTACCCCTGGCTGGGCCAGGCTGGAGCCCCCCCACAGCCTCAGGGCCCGGCCGAGAGGCCCCTGCCCCCACCTCTCACCCCACAGACAGACTCTGCCCGTGAGAAGCAGAGGCAGAGGGCTGAGTGGGCGCGGGGGGCCTCCCAAAGTCCCCAGTCGCAGGCTCTCTCAGGGATCACCCGTCCCCCCGCCCTGGGTCTTCCCGCCTTGCCCACTCCACTCATGCCCAGCCTATCCAAAGACTCCCTCAAGGAGATTTCGGGCAAAGATTGCACAGCCTCTACCTTGCCGCATCGAGACCCTCCCAAGCTCCTGCAGGCCCCCACCTCGTGCAGTGGTCTAGGCAGCCTCGGGAGCGGAGCCGCCGACTCGGACAGCGCCCCCTTTGAGGAGGAATCCCCAGAGCTCTCTACTATCCTGCCCGATGGTCTGGCCAACATCATGAAGATGTTGGATGAGTCCATCAAGAAAGAGGAGGAGCAGTACTCGGGTTCTGACGTGCCGTCCTACTCTCCTCCATCCCCCCTGCCCCGTTACCTGTGTGCCCCCCAACTCCTGCCTGCTACCAAGCCAAACCCAGGGGAGGATTTCGGCCCAGCGGGACACACCAGCCCCCCAGTGCTAAGCAGACAGGGCTCTCTGGCCTCCCCGTGCAGCCGCTCCTCCTCGCTATGTGAGGATGAAGAGGAGGAGGTCCCTCCGTCTTCGAAGACTCTTCACTCACCAGATACCGGGACGGGACTGGCTACCGGCTACCGCTACAGTGACCTGGCCAAGCTGTACGGCCTCCCCGAGCCGGCTAAGGCAGAGGGCGACAATGAGGAAGAGGAGGAGGAAGAAGACGAAGAGGAGGATCATTCCTGTTCCCCACCCCCTCAGCGGCCTCATCTCCACCAGACCGGCATGAGTAGTACATTGCTGGATTCTGATGTAGAACGTCAAAAGTATACGTATCGTGGAGGCCCCTTTGGCAGGCCCCCTCCCAATGCCCTCGGGGGTGTCAAGTACTCCTCTTCTCTCTCTCTGGGCCCAGACATTTGCCGGCAGCAGCAGGAGAGCTCTGTGCAGCTTCCTGCTCAGCCATGCCCTCCCCCTGGACCACCCAGCCAGGAACCGGCTTGGAGCAAGGCACAGAAGCGTGAAGATGATACCTTGGACATCTACCAGATGGAACACGAGGACACTAAAGGAACGCTGGGGGTCTTCCGAAAAGGGGAGAAAGGCTTCTCGGCCCTGAGGGACCCCTCAAAGGCTGACCCTGAAGCTGGGCCACCTCGGTCAAAGATGAAGCTCACCACCATCTCCGAGTCCTCGCTGGCTGAACTGGGTCGCAGCTGTGAGGTCCTGCTGACCCGACATGGCATGCCAAGCCGGACCCCGGCCGAGAAGGAGAGCCAGAAGACTGGGAAGGACAGGGACAGGGACAAGGAGAAGCGGAAGTACGATAGCAAGAAACACCAGCAGAGGAAAGAAAGGAAGAAGAAGCACAGGGAGAGGAAAGATGAGATGACCTCCTCCTCCTCATCCTCCTCCACCATTTCCTCTCACTCTAGTTCTAGCCGCAAGCATAAGGAGGGCAAATCGCACAGGGACAAAAAAGGCCGGGAGGTCCTAGGGAATGTCGACCTCCAGTGCAAGGAGGTCCGGGAAAAAGTCCGGTCTGCAGAGTCTGAAGAGAGGAGGAAGAGGAAAGAGGAAGGGGGCGTGCCAACTGATGAGGGGGAGCAAGGCACCTGGGCGTCTTCAGACAGCGGTGCTGGAGTCAGCACGGTCATCTCTGGCAGCGCCGCCCTAGGCATGGGTCCGGCGGACTTGCTGAAGCTGAAAGCGCTGTCCGATGGCCCTCCCAAGGAGCTGAAGATACGACTGATCAAAGTGGAGAGCGGCGACAGGGAGACCTTCATCGCCTCCGAGGTCGAGGAGAAAAGAATCCCCCTGTCAGAGATCACGATCAAGAACACTGCAGCGGAAGTGGTGCGAGCCTGCAAGTGAGTGGAGAGGGCGTTGGGGGTTAGGGTTTGGGTTTAGGCGTATTCCTCTTAAACCTTACAGTCCTTACTGGTGAGGTCTCAGGATGTAGGGTCTGGCTTGACATGTGGGAGGAGTGTCCCCCATGAGTGATTCCTTCCTGTATTCATACTCTCTCTGCTTGCTTCTAGGGGGGCACGGATTAAGGGCAAGTTCCGCGAGTCCTATCTCCTGCCAGCCTTCTCCGTAAAGCCCGTACTGCCCATGGGCCACCCCATCCCACGCGAGAAGCTCAACCCGCCCACACCCAGCATCTATGTGAGTCCCCCAGCCCGTCTCGTACCCCCTACATTCATGAATCTGGTTAGAATGATCCGTCACTCTGCCTACAAGTGTCAAGGTTCAGATATGTACCCAAGCATTCATCTTATCCCTTCTGGGTGCAAAATGTAATGCAAGTTATTAAATCTGAAAAATAAGTAACTCCTGATGAAGGTGTCGCCTATGTCCCCCCGCAGCTGGAGAGCAAGCGGGACGCCTTCTCCCCCGTGCTGCTGCAGTTCTGCACTGATTCGAAGAACCCCATCACCGTCATCCGGGGCCTGGCCGGCTCTCTCCGCCTTAGTGAGCATCCCCTCTCCGGAGTGACGTGTCGTGTCACGCCACAGCCACACTTGCCATCAGTCACATGGGTGCATGCTTTGCCGTGGGGTGACTTGTCTCTCTCTCCCAGACTTGGGCCTTTTCTCCACCAAGTCTCTGGTGGAGGCCAACGCAGACCACGCCGTGGAGGTGCGCACCCAGGTGCAGCAGCCGGCCGACGAGAACTGGGACCCCAGCGGCTCTGCACAGACGTGGCCGTGCGAGAGCAGCCGCTCACACACCACCATCGCCAAGTACGCCCAGTATCAGGCTTCATCCTTCCAGGAGAGCCTGCAGGTGAGGCCCCGTCAGTGCCATCTAAAGTCCAGTCGCCACGCCCTCACGGTCTCGGGGTGACCCTTACCGTGTGCACATTCACAGGAGGAAAAGGGCAGTGACGAGGAAGATGATGATGAGGAAGAGGAGGAGAAAAAGACGAGCGTCCCGGAGCCCTTGTTCACTGGCCCAAGGTATTCAGCGCCGGGTTAAGTGCCTTTACAGAGAGCGTTCTGCGCTGCCCCTAGTGGCAGCTGAAGCCCTCAGTAATGCTGATGTGTAATTTGACCATTTTCCTTTCTCATCCTCGCCCCCCCCCCCCCCCCACCTCCAGCACGGAACAGAAGCCAGTGGGCAAGATAATCAAATTTGGCACCAACATTGACCTCTCAGACCCCAAGCGGTAAGAAGGGCAGACTTTGCCCTCAGTGACTTTCTGCTTGATAGCACAGCTCACTCTACTGCAGTAAAGGGGGTGGGGTGTGTAAGCGGTTCCCCGGGTGCGACATCTCAAGTGCTCCAGAATTTTCCATGCCTGTGTTGTGGTGCTCTACTGACCCCTGGTGGTCACTTATAGTGTAGCTTTTAATTTTTTAATTTCATTCATCACATAAGGGGTGTGTGTGCGCGTGTGTGCATGCGTGTGTATGTGTGCGTGCATGTGTGCATGCGTGTGTATGTGTGCACATGTGTGTGTGTTCGCCTCATGCCCTGCACTGCCTGGGATGGGCTTCAGGCTCCCCAGCTTAAGCGGATTTAGGTGGACCTGGTCTTCTTGTCTGTGACTAACGTAGTAAAATGGCCCTAGAGATGGTGAGACTGGCTGAGGCTTTGCAGATGGCAGATGTGGACTAATGACCTCTATGTGTCTCCTTGGCCAGCTGGAAGCCCCAGCTGCAAGAGCTACTGAAGCTGCCGGCCTTCATGCGCGTCTCGTCCAGCGGGAACATGCTGAGTCACGTGGGCCACACCATCCTGGGCATGAACTCTGTGCAGCTCTACATGAAGGTCCCAGGCAGCAGGACGCCAGGTCTGCCTCTCTCTCTCTCTCTCTCCTATCTCTCTTCCTTTCTCCCTCTTTCTCTCTTCCTTTCTCTCCCTCTCTCTATCACTCTGTCTCGTCTCTTTCTGGATTGTGAGTTTACTGTGTCCCGCCCCCCCCCCCCCCCAGGCCACCAGGAGAACAATAACTTCTGCTCTGTGAACATCAACATTGGCCCCGGGGACTGCGAGTGGTTCGCTGTGCATGACAACTACTGGGAGGTCATCAATGACTTCTGTGAGAGGTGAGACCCCAGAAGAGGGACTAGCCTGCAGGATAACATGTGGCCAGATACTGCTTAGAGGACCATGTGTTAATCAGCTGGGTATTTAATATGTTAGTTTGCGTATGAATAAAAGGCAGCACATTGGGTTAGGGTTATAGATTGAATGTTCTCCCTGGTAAAAGGGGATTTTCCCATCTTTAAATTGTAATGTGTGTGTGTGTGTGTGTGTGTGTGGCCGGAGAAGGACTGGCATCCCTCCCAGTATGTTCCCTGCAATAGGCTGTAGTCCCCCCCCCCCTCCTCCTCTCAACCCTTCTTCAGGAAAGCGATGAGAGGATGGATGGAAGGACAGGCAGATGGATATTTGGCATATAATGAAATAATACTTGCAACTATTTCAGGAATGGAGTGGACTATCTAACAGGCTCGTGGTGGCCAGTTCTGGAAGACCTTTACCGGGCCAACATCCCAGTGTACCGCTTCATTCAGCGCCCAGGGGACCTGGTGTGGATCAATGCGGGCACAGTGCACTGGGTCCAGGCTGTTGGCTGGTGCAACAACATCGCCTGGAATGTGGGCCCCCTCAACTGTGAGCAGCCCGGCCTGTCCAGATCAGTCTTTCAAACCAACTCCCCCCCCCGTTGCAGTTCTTGCCTGATGGCTTGGGTTGTGTTGCCCTGCAGCCTATCAGTACCAGCTGGCTCTGGAGCGCTTCGAGTGGAATGAGGTGAAGAAGGTCAAGTCCATAGTGCCCATGATCCACGTGTCTTGGAACGTGGCCCGCACGGTCAAGATCACCGACCCCGACACATACAAGATGATCAAGTGAGTTCAGCAAACCCGCTAGACGTGAGGCTTTCATGTGAGCGTCGCTGTGGTGGGTAGCTTGAAAGAGATCAGTAGCCGCACAGAAATATGAGGCATGGTCAGTTCAGAGAGTAGTTGTAGTAGGGCTTTCCACCTATACTGACCTTGAAGTTGTCAGAGTATAAATCCCCTGTGTCCTCCCCCCACCCCCCCCCTTCCCTCAGACACTGCCTTCTGCAGTCCATTAAGCACATCCAGATCTTGAGGGACCAGCTGGTGGCAGCTGGGAAAAAGATCTCCTACCAGAGCCGAGTGAAGGATGAGCCCGCCTACTACTGCAATGAGTGTGACGTGAGTTGACCCTGTGAACTCTGCACTGTTACATGGCATGCAGATGCAGTGGAATCATGACCAACTGTGATGTGTCAGTCAACATTCAGCTCAGTTGTAGGCAGTGTGCTGTTGGGATCAGGGCTGGGAGGCTGTCACGGTCAGGAGGTACTGCTGCACTGTCGGGTTGTGCAGACGTTATAATGAGTGGGTGTTGTCTCTCGCCGCAGGTGGAGGTGTTCGACCTGCTGTTCGTGACGAGCGAGAACGGCAGCAAGAAGATGTACGTGGTGCACTGCGAGGACTGCGCACGTCTGCGCAGCCAGAATTTCTCTAGCGTAGTGGTCCTGGAGCAGTATCGCATGGAGGAGCTGATGGCAGCCTATGACAGCTTTACCCTGGTGAGCGCAGTGTGAACGCAGTGTGAGCACAAGTACGCGCACACATATACACAAGAATTTCACAAATCACAAATTCAGTTCATAATGCCGGACCTTTACAAGAATTTCCAAGCTCATGAATCTCCAAGTGACAACTGAATTAATTTCCCCTTTGATTTGACTGATTCAATGCAAATGTAGGATGGTGTTTGTGCAGCTGGCATGTGTTGGTGTTTCAATGCCCCCCTAACAATCCTGCTTTCACCTGCAGGCTCCAGCCCCCAGCTCACGGTGAGGAGCTCCTCCTGTCTAACAGCCATAACCAAAACTCCTGGTTGCCAGGACAACCCAAGCAGTCTTTTAATATTGTCATTTTTGTTTTGTTCTTTTGTTTGTTTGTTTACATTTACTACTGCTAGTACTTGCTGAACAGCCAATCGAACGCCCGTTTACTCATTGTTTACAATACCACATCAGCCAATAAAAACTCCAGTTTACTGTCATTTGCCCAGTCTACCTGCTGGCAGTTGGCTTTTAGTGGAACTCGCCTTGGTGCTGTATTGGTTAGAATGACTGACTAAGGGAGTTTATCTCAATGGCATGTTTTGTTTTTTTATGTTAAATCTGAAATTTGTAAATACTATTTGTATTTTTGTGGGGTGCTTTTTTTTTTTTTTTTATTTATTCCAATTTTTAAACTAGATCAGCCTAGCTCTATACCACATTGGCCTTGTGACTTGTATTTAGATGAAAGATAATGAAAAATACTAATAATAGAGTATGAACATTTTTCTAAAGCATTAAGAAAAAAACAGTTTGGATGGTTCAAAACATACGGGTTTTAAGACAACTTTGTTTCTTTTGTCCTTGAGAATCTTGTTTGTATTAATTGTAGAATTTTCAATTATTTTTTTTCCTGGAGATTCTAATGACATGCCCTTGTAAGACCCTGTCAGACCTTTCCCACTCTCTTTGTATGTATTATATTATCAGTTGATTATTTTAACTTGTTCATTGTACTTCCCATCCTGGGCTGTGTTCTGCTTCTGGATTTTTAATTGTAAATCGTTTTTTTATATTTATGTATTTTTTTGCTTTTCTATTTATTGGAAGTCAATGTTCTCTCCCATCTTATTAGGTATATCAAATGTCAAAAGTTTTCTATTGTAATTCCATTGTAATATTTTGAGACGGGGGTCTGTGGGAGGGCTTCCCCCCCTTATGGTGCTCACCTCCCCTTCACCCCCATACTCACTATATATAAATGATATCTATAAATAATCCTTCACCTTTTCTCCTAGATGGTAGGGCACTGGGCTGCAGTAGACAACTAATGTGATGCTGTCTTTGAGGTGGAAAGCAATTCTCCTTCTCCAGCAAGAGTAATTGTAATTATGCTTAGGGACTTTAGTTGCGACGAGTGATTAACAGTTGGAATCTGTTATGGGATAGAAGGTGCTATGATTTAAGACCTTTTTTTCTTTTTAAAAACAAAAATCTATTTTTCCTCTTGCAATACACAATTTGCTGTTTGTGGTCATTTATTTAAACTGCACTGTTTTTGAGAATTCACACACACACACACACACACACATGTGCGCGCACACACACACACCAAACTGAGCCAACCATGTCTAACACTTCGTGAACTTGTGTGATTTTTATGACTTAATAAATTTTTTTGATAAATCAGTGTGGAAGAATCTTTCTGTTGAGAAAGGTGTCCTCTGTGCACACGATTCCACTGCATGCCATTGCTGAGCAAGACACCTGTGAATCCTGAAACATTAAATTGATGCCTTTGAATCTGAGCGTCCCATTTGTGTTCTCTGTGCTTTATTGAGCAAAATGTGATTGTCAAATGCCCTCTGCACTGACAACCAGCTCCATTTTTGTAAATGTGTAACCATAATGCTTCCAATATTTGCCAGCATTCTAGCATTATTTGTGACATTTAGATGAATAGCAGAATATATTGGTTAGAAATAATAAATTAATATTTAAATGTAATGACAAAAATGAGCGAACAATCCTTACATTTACTGTAAGAGTGAAGCCTGGACGCAATTGTGGTTCTTAATTCTTTTTTTTCATGTCCCCCCTTAGTCTCCTTTGCTCGAGGCTAAACAGATTCAGCTCAGCTAACCTCTCCTCATAAGACATTCCTCTAAGACCAGCAATCATTCTCGTAGCCCTACGTTGCACCTTTTCTAAGGCAGCAATGTCCTTCTTAAGGCATGGTGACCAAACCTGCACACAATATTCTAAGCAGGGTCTTACCAAGGAATTATACAATCATAGCATCACTGCCCTTGACTTAAACTCCACACACATAGAGATGTAACGCAACATTCTATTGGCCTTTTTCATTGCTTCCCGAGAGAGGGACATGGAAGCATCAGCATATACTGAGGCCTTTCTCATAATCAGCTACCTTTATTTCAGTGGAACCTATAAAATATCTGTACTTTATATTTCTGCTCCCTGCAAGGATTACCTTACATTTATCGATCTGTCAGGTATCAGCCCAGTCACTAATTAAATCAAGATCCCGTTGTAGCCTCTGTGCTGCTAGATCAGTATCTGCTACACCACCCACCTTGGTGTCGTCTGCAAATGTAACCAGTTTACTGTATGTATTGGGGTCAATATTATTAATGTAAATTAGGAACAATAGTGGTCCTAAAATTGAACCCTGCGGTGCCCCACTATGAACGCAGGCCCACTGTGACATTGTGCCTCTAATAACTACTCACTGCTTCCTGTCAGTTAACCAGATTTCGATCCAAGCTACTACAGTTCCTAAAATCCCTGCAGCTTTGAGCTTAAGCAAGAGCCGTTTGTGGGGGACAACATCAAAGGCTTTCTGGAAATCTAAGTAGATCACATCGTAGGCCTTTTTGAGATCAATTTCTCTTGTAGTTTCCTCAAAGAACTCAAGTAAATTAGTTAAACAGGATCTACCTCTCCTAAATCCATGTTGGCTATCCCTCAAAATGTTATTTGAATCCAGGTAATCTACCATTTTCACTTGGATTATAGCTTCCAGTACTTTACCAGTAATGCTAGTTAAACTGATTGACCTATAGTTTGCTGGATTACTTCTATCCCCTTTTTTGAATATGGGCATTATATTTACATGTTTCCAATCTGAAGGTACCGCAGCAGCAGATAAGGATTTCTGAAATAGTAAAGTTAAAGGTTGGCTAATAATCCCTCATCTCTTTTAAAACTATAGGTAAGATGCCATCAGGGCCCTGCAATTTATTTTGAGTTTAGCTAGGCTTAGTACCACATCAGTTATACATATATTGGTCATAGACGACGCTGTATTCGTACTAAATGGTGATAAGTTACTCATGTTCTCTACTGTGAACACCCGTGAAAAATAATCATTAAACTCATTTACTATATCAATTTCATTTTCAATTATAAGGCCCTAACTATCCTGCAAATTAGTGATTTCAGCTTTTAGAGCTCTTTTGGAGTTAAAATATTGGAAGAAACTTTAAATGTCATCCTTAGCCTCCAATGCAGTCTTCCTTTCTACATTCCTCTTGGCGAGTCTAATGTTATTTTTCAACTCAACCTGTAGACTTAGATACTCCTGCTTTATTTTGAAATCGTTAGTTAATTTCCATTTGTGGAGCAGAACCCTTTTCCTCCTGATTTTATTCTTAATTTCTTTATTAAACCACCTTGGTTGCAGTTTCCTAGATTTTGCTGGAAACAGGCATGAAGTCCTCTTGCACTTCCAACAATGTTCTTTTAAAAAATTCCATTGTATACTTTTGTTTTAACCTCAAATTTAACCATGTTATGATCACTACTGTCAAGTGGTTCTAAAACCTCTAATTTTCCAATCCTATCCTGGTTATTAGAGAAAACAAGATCAAGAAGGGCTTCTCCCCTGGTAGGGGTATTAACAAACTGAGTTAAAAAACAATCCTGTACTAATTCCACCATCTCAAGTTCATTTACAGAAGAGCCAGAGACTGTGTCCCACTGTATCCCAGAAGACTATGTCCCACTGTATCCCAGGTAAATTAAAATCACCCTTAACCAAATCTGAAGAATTGATATTTCACTATCGATCCACACATCCTTAGTCATAGGTTCTGTTACTGTTTGACTGAGAATTACAGTGTCTGAGATGGCCTAAGCAGTCAATGAGGTCCAGACCTCGTACATTTTTGAACTAAAAATAAAATTCGAAGCTAAATATTAACCTAACTTGGACCAAGTGCATTCTTAACTTAGTTAAAAAGTGTTAATAACAGACAGACAGCTGGAGCATTTAAATTTATTTTACATTAATTTTAAGTTTAGTAATTTAAGTTTAAAATGACTCTTAGTCTTGGTACATACATGATGTATGGTGTATTTTTCAGAAATTGTGTTTTTTCAGATTTTCAATACCAATAAAAATGTGTCGCTTGCAAATAGAAACAGGCCTACTATATGTAACGTGTGATTGACGATCCCTCAAACCTGGGCTATATTCCAGCCACTAAGTTCTAAGTATCATTTTAAATGTCCTACATAGATAAATATATCAACCAAACTGTCTGTACTTCATTACACCAGTGGGTGGCGACAGAGAGGCTACCTTGGTCGTGGACTCATGAGTTACTTCTAGATCTTGTTCATCAATTATGAATTACACTGAGCAAAGTGAACGAATGTTGGTTCTAGATTCCAGCACCTCAAAAAAAATAAAAAATTCCTGGGACTTAACATGCAGCACAGTGTCTAGAAAATGTCCAGAGTCCTTAAAGCTAACAAAAAGGGCACCTGTGTAAAAAAACAGCTCAGGACAGAGAGGCACAGCTGGTCTTCCCCTGACCTGGTTCTGGGGACAGAAGTGGGGGTGTTGTGAGGGTTAGGATGTTATGCCTTTAATCGGAAGCCAAAAGGTCACCAGTGAGTCCTTCCTCACACTTTCTAGGAATTAATTCAAAAGCGTCTTCTGTGAAAGTGCAAAATTGTGTTTTGCGTATCCATCATATATTCAGCATGAATGAAAATATTGCATAAAAAAGCAATATCATTATATTGTGATAGTAACTCACAAAGGTGGCTGAATGCACATTCATTAAAATTAAACCTTTTGCAGAAATCCATCAGCGTTTGGTGCTCAGCGGGCGGCACTGATGCGTCACACACCCATGGCTTCAAGTCCAACCTCCCTGTGGCACATGCCTCCTGCAGTCCAAACACATGGCGTTTACCAACACTCAGAACCACACATCTGCATAGGGCCCCCTAGGTTTGTGTTATTTATATTGGGGATTCTGAAGCAGCATGTTCCACTAACCAGCCAGCTAGGTATGATCTTCTGACTCTACTCGCTAGCTATTTATTTCGTTTTTGAGACATACAAGGGGGGCATGGGGGCCCCAAAGTGACTATTTGAGTAGGGACCTAGAAACAAAAAACCGGCCATGTTGTTGGACTACAGGCAGAAATATATGCAAACTCCATCCACACAGAGCCAGGAGCAAAAATCAAAATCACATTCCAAGTCCACAAATAAATAAGAATGTCATGATCTTGTCATTTAAAAAGTACAAATCATTTTATAGCATTAAGTCAGAGGTAAAGTCAGCTGGCATCGCAAGAATCCAACAACCTTTCCAAAATACAGCAGCAGTAATGAGATGATGTCAAACTCAATTCCAGAGAAACATGAATAGGCATGCTGCAATGCCATCTCCAGTTCCCAGTGTCCATCCATCCATCCATCCCTAATTTTCTATACCCGCTTCTTTAGCAGGAATTCCACAGTGCGGATACCACTGGAGAAGCTGTACATGCCCTAGGCAGCCTTAAGGGCCTTCACAGTGTTGCGCGGCCGGCCTTTAGGGCCTTCACAGTGTTGTGCGGCCGGCCTTTAGGGCCTTCACAGTGCTGTGCGGCCAGCCTTTAGGGCCTTCGCAGTGTTGTCCAATCACTCTGGTTTTGGATCATTAGACAAAATGCAGTATTAGGAAGGGGGCACCCAAGGAATGCACAACATATTTTTAAATATTTAAGGAACAAAAAATTATCCAACACCCAAGGAATTTCCCTTTAACTAGCACTACCTTTAGCAGCAATAATGGTTGCTTCCTATGATTTGATATTATTCTGTCACATTGCTATTCAGCTGTCTTCTCTACAATGCTGATGGGTCGCAGGACCGTTTTCATTGGGTTGCAGAGTGTGTGGTTAAAAAAATATTTTGATTTTTTTTCTGATGTAGGACCTTTTTTTGTTTTTTTTGCGCAGTTCATGAAAGCATAGTACCAGTGTTACTGCACTATGTTCTATGTTCTGCACTGTTTCTTCATGAAACAAATTTGGTTCAAAAATTTTTAAATTTGGGTCGTGACTTAATGACCAAGGAAAACTGGGGGCCCCAAGGTTAAACCACAGCTCTAAAACACAAGTTGCAGGACAAACACATTTTGTGTATATGTATTTCACACAGGGACAAATAAACCTTTTTAAAAGTGGGGGGGAGAGTAATTGTCCCTTTGAAAAAAAAAAAATCATAATTAACTTCCTGCTTTTCTACATTTTCTTTACATCAATAGTATGTAAATTATATCATGTTTTGATTTATAATGTAGCATCATACCATAACACACTAAATTCATCAGCATGTCCTACTACTATCTAACAATGTTTCAGCATTCAGAACTGTGTTTCAGCAATAGTGGGAGCATAAACATAGCCCCATCCCACCTCTAGCGATGCCCATAATTTTACATGTATTTAGTGCTACTGCAAACATGGTGTGGCTTAGCAAATAAGCGTGTTGGTAAGAAAAGGACAAATGCTTTCATGTTCCTCTAGCCCAGTGGTTGCCAAACTTTTTTTGCCCATGACCCGGTTTTTACCATGCCAGCTCAGTTGTGACCCTGTAACAAGTATAGGTTTATATTAACGTTATGATCAAACGCACAGTGCACTCTGCAATTTGCACCAATGAATGCCTATTGCACAAATCTCATTGGATGTGCCGGTGAATTTTAAATTAAGCATCTGTGGTTTGGCTTCTTGGATTGGTTGCGTGTTCACTAGTTTTGCGCTAAGCATTTGCAGACCCGAGACCCATTTATATAGGTTAATTCTAGGACTGGGGCTGGGAAATCTGATCGTGGATCAGCGTAGGAGCTTGCTGGTTTTAAAATGCTTACATTTCCAGCTCTGCCTCGCGAACCTTTCAGAACTTGCCACGACCTAAATTTGAGTCGTGACCCATGGGTTGAGAATCGCTGCTCTAGCCTGTCTCAAGTGCTAAGCCAGGACTCGGGATTCAAGATTCTTATTTGTCACATGCATGAATATGCTGATGTGCCTGAAGCGTCATGAAATTGCCAGTACTCTACAGTTTCACAGGCATTTTAGCTAATCTATTCAGAACTATGCGTACAGGCTGTTTCGCATAACAATGGATGTGCCTTCATGTTTGTGCTCAATGTATTTCTCATAGTTACTCTGGCATTAAATAAAAGGCATTAAGCTCAAAACTGGTGTTTGCCTCGTCTTTCCTGTGGTTAACTGAGCCTTCAAAGAACTGACTGACAGCGTGACTATTAGGACATAATGACATCTGAGTAACACATGATGTGTTTTGGCAGGACTGAGTTGCCTTTTGTTATGAGGGTGGAGCTGATTTCTGTCCCTACAGTCCTCTACTCAATTATTGGCATCCTTGGTAAAGATTAGTACTGTAAAAGGGATTATAGGAAACTCACATTTTAATAAATTAGCTTAATCACATACTGAAAAAAATATAAAAATGCAAGCTTTAATTAAAGCAAATTTATTTTTTTTTAAAAACCCTCATTAAGAAATTATTATTTTTAACAAAACCAATAATTGTGGAGAGGACTGTAAATGGCCTTTGAATCTTAAGTGATATTTCCAAAAGGAAAACGAAACAAACAGATATTTCTGGAAAATGTATTTCAGCTGAAAATAAAAACATTAACTTGCGCAGAGGTTAGTATAAATATATAAAACATGTTACAATAGGTCCCAGGTTATAATGTAAGCATGTTTACACATATGCATAGAAATGTAATTAATTCAGTGACTATCTGGGTGCAGGCTTTATAAGAAGGACAAAGTCTGTCACCAGTACTCTCCAGGCTTCCCAGTGCTGTTTC